CGGGCGCCCTCCCCACTACGGCCCGCGTGAGGTGAGGCCACCTCCCGGCCGAGGGGGCGGGCGGCGCGGGCGGCCCGTGGGGAGGGGGCGTGGCGGACGGGCGGGCGGAGGCCCCCGGCCTGGGTTCCCCGCGCTGGAGCTGCCTGGGCCGGGGGCGGTGGGTCAGGGCCGGAGCCTCCCGAGAAGGACGGCCCCGACGCCAGAGACTCCCCGAGTGGGCGCGGGGTGGAGGGCGGGGGTGGTGCTACCTGTGGCCTGTGCGGTGGGACTTAAAAATTGTTGCGCCCTGGTAGGGCTTGGGGGTGAACTAACTCCATGTGTTTCCTGGGTCTCCGTTTTCCTTCGAGCATTGGAAAAATGGGAGGGGAAGGTGTTGGAGTGTTTCAAATCATGTCGGTGTCCGAGTTTATTAGGGGGACAGGGTTTTGAGTTGGAACATACAGGGAGATGTTTCTGGAGCTTAAAAGTTGGGCCTACTCTAAGCTCATAACTCACTCGAGCCTCTGAAAACTCTTCTCGATTTCGATTTCCTGTAGAGCCAAAAATTTTCAACATTTGTGACCGTTAGCCTAGTAATACCACAGAATATTTATTTACTTAAAGTGAATTGTCCTTGTATAACGATGAGACATTACCGAATAACACACAGCCCCAGAGGCTCATTACATCAAAGAAAGGTGTGGGAAATTTTTAAATTTAGATCCCAGTTGGATGAATGTACTTGTATATATTTTTTTCATATAGACTTAACTAAAATTGAGAAGCCTGAGTCCTGGCTGATGTTGGTAGGCAACATGGAGACTGGGGAAGAGGGAGGTGACAGGTTCCACTTAATGTCACAAATGCCTAGCATTTTATTGTATTTTTGGCTAGTCAAATTAGCACTTGAATTAGTTTTGTGGCTCTTCGTTTTTACTGATTTTGTTGTTGTTTGTTTTCTTCCTTCAATATTTCGTTTATTTTCCCTTTGTGGGCCTGGAGCATCAAGACAAAAATGGTTTAGTGGCAGAAAGTGGTAGATTAGGTTAATTCAGCTCACTTTTTAGTCGTATTTTTCTTCCCCTGTTGCATTTCTCCACAGGATTGAGAGAACTGAGAACCTTTCTTGAAGGTCTGATGAACTGTCAGTAAAAGTTAAATTTCAGAGTTGCAGTTCTAGGTGTCTTTATGACCAACATATGAGCTATACTGTAGCTCTCCACAATTTAAAACAAAATTTTAAAAATTTGAATGTATAAAAATAGGGTGCCTGATATATTTTGAATGGAAAAGGAGTCAGAAGAGGAGATGGCTTCCTTTCTCAGAATAAAAATCATAGATTTACAATTACCTTTAAAGCTCTAGATCTGTAGCACGCTTTTGCCCCCAATAGAAGCTCTGGTCTTCTGGCTGTTCCTTGAGTATACCAGGCACACTTCTGCCTCAGGATCTGTGCACTTAATCCCTGGATCGTCCTGGGTCACCATTTCCTTGTGAAACTGCGCAGCCTTATACCCTCACCACCTCAGGTTTTTCATCAAATGTTATTCTAACAGTGACATTTCCTTGGCTGTCTAAATTGCAAAGCCCCTCCCCACATACATTTACTTAACTTCCTATCCCACTTCTCTGCTTTATTTGTCTCCTTACCCCTTATCAACCTCTACTATATATTTAGTCTCCCTCGTTAGAAAATAAGCTTCATGAGGGCAGATAGTCCTGTTTTGTTAATTGCTGTATCCTCAGCACTGAGCATAGCACTTGACCTGCATTTGGTGCTCAACAAATTTATTGACTGAATAGGTAAAGAGGAGGAGTTTTATTTTTAAACTCTCTTGTAAATTTCTGATCATGATTGGCTGTCCTTGAAGGTGTGGAATAGATTTTCACTAGCATTTTGTAAGGTACTCATTGGAAGAAATTGAGATTTTTTTTTTTTCTGTTAGTTCTTGTCACATTTTTCTTTTGACAGGTTTTGAGCTTTCAGGTCATTGAATGAAAGCACTTTGAAAGCAGAGAGGATGGAGTGTAGGGGATCTTTGGCATTGGTGGTCTTAG